TATGAAGTTGATTTTATTAACGTGATAATGCATGTTAGATTTCATCGCTTCTTGTGTATGAAAGCTACAAATTTTAATATTTTGGCTTATTTTTTAGATGATGACGATGATGGATTGGTGTTAAACGTCCAGTGGCAGCTATTACATGCATATCAGGACGAGAACATGTCAATGCGATATAACATTATGAACCGGCATACTTTGTACAATACTGACACGCTGAGTTAGATTTGTAACGTCCTATAGTTTATAGGTCGCAGGAGACATGTTACTTTGTCCTACCCGGACACATTATTTTGACTCTGAGTCGACCAGTATTTGTCCATACTTCTTAATTTTGCACTTAATTGATTCTTTTTCAGGCTTTTATTTCTCTCGTGTTCTTTAATCGTCGGTGCATGGTTGTCCCATTTGCAACAACCATACTCATTGTTTTACATTTGTCATTTCGGGGCCTTTTATAGCTGAATATGCGGTATGGGCTTTGCTCATTGTTGAAGGCCGTACGGTGACCTATAGTTGTTAATTTCTGTGTCATTTGGTCTCTTGTGAAGAGTTGTCTCATTGGCAATCGTACCACATCTACTTTTTTATATCCAGCTCTTAGTTTTAAACAAGAAATTGTGTGCATACGTATAAATCGGAAGTATTAAAAAAAAATTACTGACTGTTACTCACTTGGATAAATATGATTTATTTTTCAAATTTTACTTACAGATTTTCATGGCTAAGTAGAAGAAGGGATGGACCACGAAGCGAAGGAAATGGAGTTAAAAGTCCCTGTCAGAGAGATTAAATCAAGTCAAGTCTAAACAAAATTAATTATACGATATTCAGAGGACAACACTGTCTAGACGGCTGAAATACATGGATTTGGAATCTCAGTAACTAAAACAACACTGCGAACAGTAACAAAGGAAGAAATCCTTGTTGGTCATATCTCGAAAATGAAAGAAAAAAAATTCGTCTGAACAAAAGCGATGTTCGTACACAGCATGGCTTAAGAAATCGTTGCTAGATCTGAAAGAAAGTGTTCCTTTAATAAAGAAAAGTAGACAGCTGGATAGGATTGGTGACAAGGATTCAGAGATCTTCATCCATGTCTAGCTATCTGGAATCTTGAAGGAAGTGCAGCTCGCAGTACCGTGCAAATCCGAATCATTTTATATATCAGCATATTTTAAAAAGCTTGGTGATCTGAATGGATAAACTAGACATGATCCTATTAAGTGCGCATTTAGTCAACATTATTGTATTTAAGGACCTCCTGAAATATTTCAGAATCTCCATAATTAGAATTTATGATATAAAATTGAGAATGGAAATGGGGAATGTGTCAAAGAGACAACAACCCGACCATAGAACAGACAACAGCAGAAGGTCACCAACAGGTCTTCAATGCAGCGAGAAATTCCCGCACACAGAGGCGTCCTTCAGCTGGCCCCTAAACAAATATATATACTAGTTCAGTGATAATGAACGCCATACTAAACTCCAAATTGTACACAAGAAACTAAAATTAAAAATAATACAAGACTAACAGGCTAGAGGCTCCTGACTTGGGACAGGCGCAAAAATGCGGCGGGGTTAAACATGTTTATGAGATCTTAACCCTCCCCCTATACCTCTAGCCAATGTAGAAAAGTAAACGCATGAATAAGAATATCCTCAAATCGAATAACAATTGTGGAGGTCCTGAAATAACTGTGGACCTCCATAAATAGTTTTGGAGGTCTTGAATAATGATTTATGGACATCCTGAATTCGAATTATGGAGTTACTGAAATATATTTCAGGAGCTCCTTAAAAACAATAACTTTGACTAAATCCGCTCCTCATTTGATCCTTCATAAGCTGTTGGCAAAAGGGTGAAAAATATACATTCCAAAACTAACGGTGAACGTGGTGAAAATGTTACGGCCTTATGCTATGTGAGTGCAGAAGCCCGAATAATTCCACCAATGATTATTTTCAAATATCAAAAATTAAGTCTAGCACTCAGTATGGGAAACGCACCTAGATGGACTGCTTTTTGGGAAATGGTTTGAAACATTTCACTTTCCGAATCTCTCTTCACAGAGACCATTATTACTTATTTTGCATGGCCATGCCTCACATGTTACCGTTAATCTTGAATAAACTACTGTAAATAATGAAATGGATATTTTCTATTTACCACCACATACCACTTCCTTTTAAATCAGCAGATTAGACGGCAGAGGCACATAACAAACATGGCGTCTTTCAAATGACATTAATAAATTTATGAATGCAGATATAAAAGAATGTGAGCTGTATGATAAACGTTTTTATCGTATGGAATCCTTATTACGACATCCCTGTTGGTACGATAAGCTGGATAAATATAATAACTAGCCGGAAAATAACAGTAAGGGGACGACTATTTGATATTCTGGGGAGGGGGCAGGAGGATGTTTGCGGATTTATTTCTCATCTTAATCTGTCGCTATGCATGCTTATTTTATCAGCTCTTACCAGGGCAGCATATTCATATACAACCCCCCCCCCCCCCCCCCAACAAACAAAAATAAATATCAAATGGTTTCCCCCTTATAATACACGAGTTTAAACTAATTGATTGTTGGTTGATTATTTTTAACGTCCAGTGACAAATATTTCATTCATGTTCAGGACGACAAGAGTTTAAAAGTCAGGTATATAATATAAAAATAAGGAGATGCGGTATGATTGCCAATAGGACAACTATTCACCAGAGTTCAAATGAAGAGGATGTAAGCAATTATAGGCAACCGTACGGCCTACAACAATGACAAAAACTCATACCGTTTAGTCTGCTATAAAAGTCCCCGACGTGAAAAATTTGAAAAAAATCAAACGACAAAACTAGCAGTCTAATTATATATAACAAAACAATTTACAAAATACACATATGAGTCGACAGACATGCATGAACCAACGACAACCACTGAACTACGGGCTCCTGGCTTTGGCTGACAGGCACATACAGAATGTGGCGGGGCTTAACATGTTTGTGGGCGCTCAACCACCCCCTAACCTGTGACAGTGGTGTAAAAAATAAGTTGCAATTGGTTTAACACAGTGGTTGTTAACACAAGAAAACTTTACTATTATGGGAAAAAAATGGTAATTTTATTAGTAGACTTAAAAAAGACGGGTTTTGATACTGTTATATAATAGAAATGTGTTTTTTGTTTGTTTGTTTGTTTGTTTTATTTTGGCTCTGATTCTGACTGAGCGGCTTATAGTGATATCAATATTATATTGTAATGTCTTTTTGTTGACCCAATTACTTCAATCATTGTATCTGATTTATATGCTCTATATTGGCCCTGTAACTTTGAAAGTTAAATAGTCTGCTCTGCTCTGCTCTGTACTGCTCTATTCTATTCTATTCCAGGGGCGGATCCAGCCATTTTTAAAAGAGGGTTCCCATTTCTTCTTCTCTTAAGTATTTTCCACCTTTTCATATTCATATATTTATTACAGAGCATGCCAGTAATTATATTTATGTATTGTTCAATAAGTGTATTATTTTTGTAAAAGGAGACAGATTTGTAAAAGCAAATTGCTTGTTTCTGAATCCTTAATATTCATTTCATTTGTATAATATGGTTCAATGTTGATTTATCTGAATAAATATTGTTTAAACTAACCCAGGATAAAGGATGGTTCCAACCATATGTCCCAATTCAAAAGCATTGATCGTCAAAAAAAGGGGGATTCCAACCGCCGGTCCCCCTAGATTCGCCACTGTTCTATTTTATTACTTGTATACATAATGATATAAATCTTACATCCAAAAATAATCCAGTTGGGTTGCCGGGTACTTTAAAAAATTTGATAGACGAGCTGTCTTTTTCGAACATATATCAGACAAACATTGACAAATTCTTGTTCAGTTTAAGGTTATTCCTGAAATCCAAATGGTCGGAGCTTTAAGCCGGATTTGTTTAGCTAAATTAAGTTATGAAAGCATAAAGAAAAAATGTCACAAACACAGTGATTTCTTCCAACCAATTTTCTTTGTTTTTTACACTTATTATATAATTATATCAATGCCAAAAACAGAGCACACTATAACTCATGTCTACCGAATGAACTGAGGCAGAGACATATATACATATATACATATATGTCTCTGACTGAGGTAACTAAATTTTCTAATAAATCATCGTAAACTTCATTTATGTCACCCAACTTAAAAAATTCTGCTATATTCGACGGCAAATTGAATTTGTGTTTTATTGCTTCTTCTTCAGAATATCTCCAGAACGAGACCCAGATTCTTTTTTTTTTACCCCCAATCAACAGAATATATTCTGGAGGTGTACAGAAGAGAGCAATAAAACACACTCCTAGATGTATATGTATTTTTTGTCGTTGGGTTGCTGTCTCATTGATGTTTACTAAGCACCTCCCTTTACTCAATTGAAAGAACGTGAGTCCTTGGTAAGGTCTACATTCGTACCTTGATTATTGAAGATAAGTAATATATGTAAATCTACCAATTTAGATTTATCTGAATATTTTGATAATTTGATATTTTCACTGAAACTGGCAATACATGCCCTATTTGACCTGTCGACTATCAGGGTTCACTCGAATAACTTATAGAATTATTGTATTGAGTTTTTTGTTTGTTACATTAATGTAAATAACAACAGTAGACGATTTAAATACTCGTTTGAAGAAAATAGAAAGTGAAAAAAAGAAAAGAAACAAGAACAAGAGGTCCATTTCAAGTGCATATGTGGACCCATGCAAGTCAGATTCAGCATCAGTTTTTAAGATATTACTGGTTCCTGTTAAAACAGAATTCTAATAACTTATTTCGGTAAAATAAAAAAAAATCTATGGATAGACGCGTGAATTTTATTATCTATGTATTTCCTAGGACTATTATACTTGTATAGTTAGTATAATAGTCCTAGATATTTCGGGTTGTTTAAATTTGGCGCTAAATAAATGATGCATTGCGCAGGTTGTATAAACCAAAACAAAAATGGCGATATCATAATGACAACAAACCATAATTGACAGTCTAAAAATGTCTATAGAATTTTATAACGTTGCATTATAAAACCTTAATCTTGATGCCGATAGAAACAATAATTTTAAATTACCATGCTCGATCTAGAAGTAGTCCCGGAAAGGTCACTTGGAAACGAGCAATGGGAATTTATTCTTGGTGAGTATGACGAAGTCGTCATTTACAAGTCATTATGTCAGATTTTCTTGTGAAAACTACAGATTATGAAAAAAAAATAGATTAATGACATTAAAACTCTATGTTTTGACGTCGGTAAATAAATTGTTTTCCCCATTTCCGTAATTTATAATGGACATCGATCGTCATATATAAAATTAATAACAACGGTGAAGGTCGAATGTCACAAAACAGCTGATCACTATTGGATAAAAAATACATGTAGGGACAAGACAATCAATGGCAAAACTTAAGGAATCATAGACTCAGATATTTGTAATTCTGGAACAAGATTTCATTAAACTGCACTAATTGTCAAACCTTTATAATTGTAATATCATTTTATTAAGGGGGACCAAAGAGTCCCAGACCCAGTAATAATATGCAACCCACTTATGCCATAGTACAGTTTCTGATTTATATACAGTAGAACCTTGTTGTGTCAAAAACTGACAAGTCAAGGTATTTTGTAAGTCTCAGTAGAATTCGTGTTTGTTTAAGGCATTTCTAACTTTGATTAATTGATCTGGGTTGATTCAAATCTCTTTACTCGAGTATATTTTGAAGTCCGCTTTGTTGAAAATGATCATAGATTTACTCTTATGTGTTGGAGTTTGAAGTAAATGAAATTTTGGAAGGAAAAAAACAATAAAATATTGAAATTGTATGTTTTTATTGTTCACCAAAATAAGTTTCCTTATTATTAGTATTGGGTACATTTTATAAACCTATTTGTTTGTATATAACAATCAGATACACCAGTTCCGAGATATGGAAGTTAGTTGAATCTGTCATGTGACTTCCATCACCACGTGACCAAAATGTAGGCATCATCACTTCCAACATACGCACAAAATATTTGGGAAATTAAAATCTATTAAGTGGTGTCACCCTCCCTTCAGTTGTTCGGCAATAAAGATTACGTACTTATGGAACATAAATTATTTCTAGACTACCCTGCAGAATGACGATTCTTAAAGTGCTTGAAACTTTAATAGTGCAGGGATACAGGTGCACCATCTATCTGGTAAATGACGTCATAAAGGCGTGCGAAATTGACGATCTTCTCTAGTGAAAGACATGATTCAAGAAATAGCCTTTTGGCATATTACACTTATTGTTTGTAGACAAATAGTTATATACACAACTATACAAGCCGTTTCCCACTGAGCTGATACACACACACCTTACAAAGTTATAAAAACAACACAAATTTACAATGTAGAAATGTTGTTTGATTTGACGAATGTTATTAATCATCAATACTGTTTGCTACAAAATGTTCCAAATTTTTCATGTGCAAATTCCACTTACCATGAATCACATATGTCACAAAACCCACCGATTTTTATAGTAATTATTCATCTGTATACACTATGGGTGTAGATAGACTTGGGCCGGATTGAATTCGGACCAGAAAGACTTGATATATATACTAAAAGGTTTGAGAGTACATGTAACTTTAGTGCAGTGGCAACATACGTGATCTTTAACAAGTGCTTTATGTCAATCTTATAAAAGTCTTATTTAAGCACATAGAAAAGGATCAAATATTTGACATTTGAAAATTAAAAAGTTTTAAAAATATGAAATTACACTGATGAGTCTGTAATTTGTTTTTGATAAAGGGTATCATGTTTTAAGATGAAATTTTGGAATAGGTTTTTTTTTTAATCATGTCTTTCACCGGAAAAGATTGTCATTTACGCACTCTCTTATGACGTCATTTACCAGATAGAATGCGCGCCAGTATCCCTGCACCTATTAAAGTTTCAAGCATCTTCAGGATTTTCATTCTTCAGGGTAATCTAGAAATAAATTTGTATTCAGTAGGTACATAATCGCAATGTCCCTTATGACTGAAGAGAAGGTGACCAACTATTAGATTTTGATTTCCCAAATAGTTTGTGATGTATAGCATCAAACTTTTTCATCCATTTGCTCAACATGTGTTGGAATTGACAAATTCACAATGCCTACATTTTGGTCACATGGTGATGAAAGTCACATGACAGATATAACTAACTACCATATCTCGGAACTGACATATGGGGACTGTCTATCTAGAAAATACATTATTTTCTACTGATATACATTGCTGTAATTAGGAGAATAGTCAATTGTCACAGGTGCAATAGAAGGATAAAACTTACTGGGAAGCAAGTAAAAGCAAAATTTATAGGTTTTTCAAACTTGTAACATACAATTTCCTTTAACCTAGACACTATTGTCACATTTTAAAACAAAACAAGTTTATTACATTGTACTACATGAAGTATGTTAAAAAGAAATGATCAAAAGACTGTTTGCAACACTTGATAGATTTTACTAGTAAATTGTAATAATTATAATTTTTTTTACATGTGTAATTGCTTTGGTAGTCTGGTTCTGAAAAAGCTATTGCCACTCAGGGAGTCTGACCAAAACCATGCAGTCTAGTATAACTTTTCTTGCCTTTTTGACTGGAAGGCCAAAGTAAAACATTTTGTGTTTTAAATTAAAAACCTGTACATTTGTAGGGATGTCCCGGTCAGTCACATTTGTACTCTTTGTGTCACTTTTAAAATAAGTTTTTTTTTAATCTATGGATCGTTGCTGTATGGATTCAGTATACATTCATTGATTTTGTCAGTGATTATTCTACAAATGGATTTTTTTTTATAAATGTATCATGTTAAATTAAAAGGCAAAGTAACAGGTGGTTATTAGTCCCCTACCGATGAAGTCGAAGGGGACTTTAGGTTTGCACTCCGTCTGTCTGTCTGTCTGTCCTTCTGTCAGTCGTGCAAATCAGTTTTCCACACTTTTTTTCTTCATGCTTGAATATATTGATTTGATATTTGGTATATTCTTTTATCATGACAAGTAACAGATCAAGTTCGAATTTAGTTCCGGTCTGATAATTTTGTGCAGAGTTATGGTCCTTTGACTTGGAAAATTCACTCAAATATTCAGTTTTCCGCACTTTTTTTCGTCATTCTTTAAGATATTGATTTAATAATTGGTACATTGTTTTATCATGACAAGTTACATATCAAGTTCGAATTTTGTTCCGGTCTGATGATTTTGTGCAGAGTTATGGTCCTTGGACTTATAAAATTCACTCAAATAATCAGTTTTCCGCACTTTTTTTCGTCATGCTTGAAGATATTGATTTGATAATTGGTATATAGTTTTATCATGACAAATTACAGACCAAGTTTGAATTTTGTTTCGGTTTGATGATTTTGTGCAGAGCTATGGTCCTTGGACTTAGAAAATTCACTTAAATTATCAGTTTTCTGCACTTTTTTTCGTCATGCTTGAAGATATTGACTTGATATTTGTTATATAGTTTACACCATGACAAGTTATAGATCAAGTTAGCATTTTGTTCCAGTACAATTAATTATTAACCGGTAGGGGACTATGTATTGCCATGCAATACTTTCAGATTGCTTGTTATAGTTGAAATTTAAAGGAAGTTTTTAGAAATATACTTCCATAGATGATTATTTTTGGTAACATTTGTCATTGTGATGTGTACATTAATGCACAAACACCGATGTACTCAATGTCATTCCAAAGTTCACGAAAAGTGTTGGTCTGAAGGTCATGAACACCAAAATTTTACAAAGGACTGACAATTTTGGTATTTTGCAATAGAAATGTTAGTGAAGACCAGCAGATTTTCTTCAAGGACCACCAGCGAAAAAATGATTTCGAGAACTCTGTCATTCTGATTATAAGTATAGGGATGTTATATCAAACGTTGTAGTAGACAGAAACAAATCACGTTTTGGACGGTCAGAAATTGAAATGTTACCGCAAATAACCTAAAGAGTAGTTGAAATGTTCCTCATGAACTTTGAATGAATTTTATTAGATTAGTTTGAACTCATATCAATTGAAAACAAAGATGGCCATCATTGCCAAAAATTTGAAAATTTCCGGATAAAATTTTAAAACTGTTTGATCAGTTTACTCACTGTTGGAATAAAATTTGGAGTTTTTTTTTTGTGGGGTACTAAAAACTTGGTGTTTTATCTATGATGCTATTGTTCAACCAATAGCAAAGGGTCATAAACGATGGCTTAATTTAGTGATTTGATTAGCACAGGAAAATTAGAATTGTCTGTAGGCTGGTTTGATAAGATTATTCCTTATTCATATGTATAAAAGCAATCTGCATTTTCATATTGCCATACATACATATATCATTCTGAATATCCATGAAATAATTGCCGCTGTTAATGCACTGTATGGTAGGCAAACAACAATCAGTATTATCGCCCACCCTGATGATGTACCCTATAAACTCTGTAGAATGGGATATTTTTATTTTACAGGCATGCCATTCAACCAGGCTATCAGTATATTAAAAAGACAAGATAGGTCCATTAAAGGGGTACAAGTATGGTATAGTGATCAGGTGAGTTTGATAATGTTCTTATATACATTTTGTAAATATGTAATAGTATGTTACCAAGTTAGCTATATGCTATGGTTTAATGACCATATACGTTGTGGTTTACAGTTTACAATGTTATTCAGTGACTCAGTCTCTTGGTAATTTTGATTATTCATAGTGAATGATGGTGATTGTGAGTAAGTGTGATCAGCAATTCACTGAAATACATCTCCATATTTTCAAAAGATACATGTATTATAGGAGGGGGTAATAAAATCAGTGTTATCACTTACAATTACCAGCACTCACATGCATAACAAAAAACAGGAATTTCAGCCAGTCAGAATTGGGCTTAAATTTGACTTTGGTTAACTGCATTAAACAATAAAAACAGAATGAATGGAGGCAATTTTACTTTTTAGAATTGGACCTGCTTCAATATATATACATTTACCTCATCAAAAGACTAGAATTGTGTACACTGTAAGATTTAAATACAGCTGACTAAGGTAGAAAGGTTAAGAAATCTCAAGAATGAATTTGCTATAACTGTAAGAATGTAAAAGAATACACTTTTCTCGGATACTATATATGTACGGATAAGCAGTATGTACACAATATATAATGTATGGAATGATTGCAAGATATACATGTCCAGCTGGCAGGGCTTAACCTCATTTTGCATGGTTTATTTGGTCAATGTTAAGCTTTTATGCTTAGGTCTGTTTTTCAGATACTATAAGCAATGGTCAACTAAATTTGGTGTATTGAAAAATTGTTAAGTGTCCATATCCATCTGATAATAAGATATTCCAACTGACTTTGACCTTATTTACACGGGTCATTGATAATGTAAAGTTTATGTAGTAATTGTAGTAAAACCTTTAAGACTTTCAATATAAATATCAATCATGATCAATAAAGCAGACTAGATCTATTCGGTAAGTACTCTTGTTTTTTATGCAGTGGTATGGTTGAAGGTAAACTTGATTACTTGATTGCATGCTAGTGTATGGTGATTAGATATTATTCATTGTGATACATTGATTTTTGTTTACCTAATAGACTATTTTCATATTACCGACTTTTGACTTTGGAATTAAACATTTTTTCAACAGGTTACCTTTTCTTTGGTAGGACATCCTGGTACCAAGTCAAGTAAGAGCAAGGTAAAGAAGTAAAATTAAGCTTTCAATCGGTATAATTTTTGGGGAAAATTAATTGCTTTACATTTTCTTTACATGACAAAATCATCAGAAAACAGTAAACTTTCCCCTCAAATTACACCGATTATATGTTTGATTTTACTTATTTTGGTTGCTCTTACTTGACAGAGTACCAGGATGTCTTACCACAGAAAAAGTAACCTGTCGAAAAATTATATAATTTGGAGTCAAAAGTCGGTAATATGAAAATAGTCTATTGCAGTGGCAAATATTTCATGCATCTTTGGGGCAAGAACACATTTGACAATGAATCAATTAAGAAGGTTCTCCAAAGAGATGCCACTGGACAATTAGGGTTTGTTGGGTGGAGACAGAATTTTGCTTGTCAGTTTGTCATACACAGACCCCTCAGAGGATTATTGCAAGAGTTTCATATATTTTTGAAACAGCTCAAAATAGAATTAATAAGTTGCCAGAAAATTAGTTAACACACCAGTTGGGATGTAAAGCCTATTCTTATTTTATTATAGTATCCACTGCAGATGGACCTAGTGTTAAACCTGTCTCAAGATGGTGTCAGACTAATTTTTGATCCAGTCTCACAAAGACTTAAGGTTAGTAGTTTGTACATGTACTTGCAAGTACGTATAGCAGGAACTTGCTCAGTGCTTCCCAATTTTTGTAGACAAATAGCCTATTTTTATTCAGGGATAGACACCAATGTTTAACCAGTTTACCTGTGACAACAAAAAGACTAACAGGCCGATTAATTTTTATTTCCAGTAGCCCAGGTGGTGATCAAGGTTTTAAAAAAACTCAGTTTTCTCAAAAGTCCGTCAAGAAGTGTGTGTTAGCCAAAGTCATGGTAATTGGCTTTGAACTAGCTTATGTAAATGCGAGATCTTTTACATCAGTAGTTTGTGTTCTTTTGATTACTGTATTTTGTGCTCTGTGTAGATCTGATGATTCATGTTTGTTGATTTTAACAGTTCTTATGTTGTGCTGTTACACATTGTCCCAGGTTAGGGGGAGGATTCAGCACTCACAAAACATGTTTAACCCCTTTACATTCTGTATGTTCTTGCCCCAAGCCCGGAGCCTATAATTCAGTGGTCATTGGTTGCTGTCTGCCATATTTTTTATCTTTTTTTCTTCTTTTTTTGGAATGAATAAGCCCGTTGGTTTTCACTTTTAATTGTTTGGCATTTTGTCATACCAGCTGATTTTCTAGCTTTCCGCTATACTGTATGGGTTTTGTTGAAGGTGGTATGATGACCTTTAGTTGTTTATTTCCTTGTCCAGTGGTCTCTATGGATACATCTGTAGCTATCTCATTGACAATCATACAACATCTCCTTATTTTCATATTGAATCATCACAAATGTGTCTGGCTATAATATTACACTGACTAGAAAAGGTTAGTGCAAAAAAAAATATGTCTGTTTACTGGTATTCAGACCACTAGAGAGCGTAAAATAGCATTATACATGAATGTCAGATGATTGGTGGAGGAGGCTCTGAGGAGACTGTAGTTTCTGCTTGTTGGTCTTTAGACCACTGCATAGATCAATGACTGGTTCTTTTCATGAGCCATATTCTCAGTTTTAAGTACGAAAGACAAAACTTTTCCTTTGTCTGTCAACTCTTATTATCTTTCCTTATTTTGATGTCATAAATTGCTAATCATCTTGAATAGTTCTCAATAATAATTCAGTATATTGACAACAATGCTTGTTTCTCTCATTTGCTATATAAATTAAAAGATACATCTAACACACTATTTGTTTAAAATTCTATAAGAAAATTTTTTAGTCTTGTAAATTACTGCGTGTAATGTTTAAAAAAAAATCTTTCTAAGAAATGTTTACTTGCAGTTGTTACTGAGAAGCAATGAATTGACAGTTGTTTTGTAAAGGATTTAAGAATTTATGTACATTTCACATGTACTTTTCTTGTTATAATGGAATTAAGTCTCTTGGGTGCATTGATTAGTTATCATGTACAATAATATGTACCGAAAAGTTTAAAGTATGTATCATTGATAAATGAACTTTCTTAAATGTCACAGATAAACGTATATTCAAGGAAACGGAGGCATTAAAGTTTAAGAAAAAAATTTTGTGAACTGCACCGTCTGAACCATGTCAGTCTGGTCTTGTAAGCACTCTCACATCCACAATTCTTGCCAGATTTTTATGAAATTTATATCATAGGTTAATATTAGCAATGTCTCAGACTAGTACGAAAAACTGTGCCGATCAACTATTTAAAAAAGTTTTATGTGCTTGGAAATATAAATTTTAAGGGCTCTCAAGTGTACAATTGAAAGGTATTGATGAAATTAAAATCAAAGTTTTATATCACCAGTGTCTTGGACAAGTTCCAAAATCAGTGCCAATCAACTTTTTTTTAAAGATTTATGCCCATTGGAAATATTAATTATATACATGTATTTATTACAGTAGTAAAAAAAAAAGAGTACTTATCTTAATATAAGGGTGGAATGCATTTACAAGGAAAGAAATAGTCTTTTTGAAACTGGATTTTGAAGTCAGGAATCAGTATCTGAGTTAATTATACCATGGAAGTATTATATTGACAGGAACTCCAACGAAAAATTAGCACATTCCCATCCCACTGATTTCTTTAAGAAAATAAAAGGTTCCGACACAGTTTGTCAAGTATGTGATAACTCCTTTGTGGGGTATCTGCGATGCTGCCTTCGCTTGTTCTGTTAAATGAAGCTGGTCTTATCATGTGATTTGTTATCGAATGTCTTGTCTACCTACCAATGTAAATAAACACGGAAACTCCTGTGGTTATTTGTGGATTGCCACATGAATGACGAAACCTGTTTCTGTTCAATTAATGAAGGCGAAAGCTGAAAAGATTTTAAAAATTGGTCCATATTAAACTGCATTCGGAAAGAAGGCAAGATTATTTTTAGTTTTGTTTAATATGTTTTAATCATTGGAACTTAGAAATCGGGAAATATCCGGTATTAAAAATTACATGTACCTGAAGTAGGGTGTTTGTAGAAAATAATGTGATGCTTGTGAAGTGTGCATGATGGCGAAGGATAACTCAAATTTTAAGTTAAAGGTTGTAAATTTTTATCGAGTGTTACAAGAATATTTATGGTTTTCTCTATCGTCTCAGTGTAGAAAAATGTAATTAAACGTATTTATTGAATATGTTTTAAATACTAAAAGAGGTTAATAATTACACGCATGTGATGACCTCTACATAGCATGTATCAGGTGATGAGACAGATAACAACAACCCTCAACCTAGTCCGAGATTGCTCTGACGTGTGACAGATTTTTTTTAGGAATGGCTTAACTTTAAATAATTCTGGATGCATTTAAAGAACAATCATCATGATGGTCCCTAAGCAGTATAATATTTTTTTATTCTTCAGATTTTATCTTGGGAACCAAATTTTAATTTATTTTTGTGTGTAAATGCTTAACAGTTCTGAAACATCTTACTACATTTGTTAAGCAATATATGTTTTTTTCTTGTCCAATTGGACTTTCAGTAAAGAATTAATCAAAATATTTGTCAAAGTTAGCAGTAAACCTCAATTATAGATGGAGAATACAACTCCCCCCCCCCCCCCCCCCCCCCCCCCCCCCCCGCCCCCCTTTACACTAGGAATTTATTGTTACATTGTATTCAAGCCAATATTAAAATAAGGAGATATGGTTGAACCCATGCATCGATATGACATGTCGAGCTAATTAACAGATACATTACGATTTTGCGGCATCGCACTATAAACGTTTGAAGTTGATTTGTTGGAGGTCCTATTAATATAATACTTCCGTGATTATACTGAAAGTCATTTTGTGCAATACAGCCTTAAGTTTTTTGTCTTAGTTTTTTCTTGGCTGCAATGAATGTCACAGAATGCAATATATTTATAGGGGATGGTAATCTTGCAGTGATGGCATTGGTGGTATTACTATTTTGTTTAAAGCTTTTATATTTCAGAAGATAAGAGCTGGATAATCTGATCTTAATTTTCTGTCTGTTGTATGCCTGTTGTCCTCTACCTCATTTCATTATTTGTCAATGTTGAGTGTTCAAAGTTATAACTGATTTTATGTGCCCAGAAAATCACTTTGTCCAACCGTCTTTCCTCCTTCTGTCTGTCTGTCTGTGTGGCCAAAACAAATGGGATATGGTCTGATCATATGGATGGTAACTTGAGTTTCTCTTGCTTGATTAGAAGGAAACTTATACCATGGAAGGCATAGGGAATTGAAGACTGCTATAAATAATGGGGTTAATTGGTCAAATTTTAAGGTCACTGTTAGTAAAAATTGAATTTTTATGAAATATTGTTTCAAGATTGTTTCTTGGGTTAATCTTGCTTGATTGGAATAAAACTCATACATATGTTTTAAAGACAAAGGGAAGGGAAAGGAGCCCATTTTGGGGGCAAAAGGTTAAAGTTCAAGGTCACTTACTAAAAATAGAAACTTTTGGAAAAAGTTGGTTTCCTTTAAATTATAAATGATATACAAGATAGGCCATATATATGTATGGTATTTATTTTTATTTTCTCTAAAAAAAAAGTGCAGTTTGAGGATCATCTAATGGCAGTGCTAGTTTACAAGGTAACAGTCTGCAGGAAGACATGTCATCCTACCCTAGTCCTAGATTGCTCTGACGTCTGACAGCCTTTTTAGGATATACTGGATCCATAGTCCCAGCAAATTCCAAATACTGATGTAATAGCAATCTGAAAACCTACCGGTACTCTAAGCAGTCTTTGCTTTCACTTTTAAATGCTGTATGCTTTGAGGTAAAGCAGCAAATACTAGGTTTCAAGTCTAGGATGAACAGACCCGGGATCAAATCCACAACCTGTGTAAACTCTTGACCACATGGACTATTTAGAACAACCTTCCAGATAACTGATTTTCTATACTCCCTGAAAAGTTTTTAGGATGCTTATATATATACATGAAGCCCTTACTTATTTGGATTTTTCAGGGATGATAACTCTAGTATTGTTACAAATACCGGTATGCTCCAGGTGGAAAATTACAATTACGGTATATATATAAATTGATATTTTTCTGTTCCAAGCATACCATTTTTCACCCTGAATTACAAAACATTGATGGTACTCATTTTTGCTCTCTTTCAATTAATGTGCAGTTCAGGGAATTTTTTTTGTGTTAAATCTAATTGATATTTTTTTTTCAATTTAATTTCAATGTAAATGCAATGAAGCATTTCATTATCTTGTCATCTGATGATTAAAATTTGTATTTCTTAACATCTCATTATATGTATCTTTATAAAGGTCCTTTTGTTCTTATTATCATACAATAACTGCTTGTTATGTATTGACAAGAAAATATGTTTAAAACTTTCTGTGCTTTGCTAGTTGCAAGAAGTCTGAAAGTTGTCTGACTGGCAATTATAGAAAATTTTGTTCTGGCAGCCCTTGCATTCTTGTTTAAAGAAACCATATACCACTAATTTATGAATTCATATCCATAAGCAGCATTATTGTTAGAACTTGATTTCATCTTTTTGATTGTCATGTTTGATAACATGTAACATGTATGTTTTCACATTTAAAAACCATAAGCCACAGCTGACCATTAATTAGAAAGAAGTTTTACGATATTAAAGGGGAAGCTTTAACAGTTATTCCTTAGAGAGCTGAAAACCTCATCAAGACTTAAATGACCACCTTAACACATATTATTATGTTTTTGTTACTTGTGCCATAAATCAGGAAGAAATCGTCGCTGATCAATCATGTAAAACACATTATCTAAGATTGACCACAGTTGGTGTAATAATGCAGAAGGCAGTTGGTCAGTCCAGCTGTTTTTGTGGCCAAATCTTTACAAAACTGTGGTAGTGTTTGGCTTCATTATTTTACCATAATTGTTAAGGTGTCGTGTATCCATTGTGTTAGTTTTTAACAATGCAAGTTTAATGTCCATCATTATTGTTATTATGGAACGTTAAAAAATCCTGCAATGTTAGAGTGTTTTAATGACATATATCTTTTGAAACATTACATAAAGTTTCTTTTGATCGACTAATTTTAATTGACCTTATATTTAAGAAGTATGACAGCAAAAGGATATAGTAAAACTGTACAGTGACATTTGGCACACCTCATGATTATTAGATCTGCAGAGATGTGTCGAATGTGTACAGTGACTAGCATTTTGGAAATAGAATTTATTTTTGAAAATATTTCTTGAAATGAATGTAAGAGTTATGCAATGAACAGAATAACATGAATATGTCAAAATTGTACAGACCACTGAAGCATTTCAAGAAATTAAAATGTAAAAAAATAGGTCTCTGAATCATTGTCTGGTGACAATTACTTGCAATTTAACTCATCCTTATGCAAGCTAACCTTAATTGACCTCACGTCTTGTATATCATTGAGTATGTGCAGTTAGTAGAGTTGACAAAACTAAATAAAAACAATTAAGATGCATGTCTTCATTACAGTAGATAAACAATTGTTTGCCTTTTTATTCAATAATATTTTGTGTCTTGAAGATACATGTCCTTGTGAGGACACATACACTCAGGTGATTGGTACAGTTTGACAGTATTTACGATTTAAGACATTGTATGGTTAATTTTAACTAAAACTGAAACAGTGACCTTTTGATCTGTTTTTAATTAAACACAGTGATCTTTTATATAATATATTCATAATACAGAGTATTTTGTATGTCAGACATCTTTTTATATGTATAACTACGTATTCTGTTGTTTTTGGCATGTTCAGAATTAATTGACTTGTATGAACTGCTTAGGATAGAAATCAACAATGCACGTATACATGTACATGTATAAGACTATGATTGATTTTGAAACATTCAAATAAGAAATAAAAGATGAATTTTGGTCTGTTTTGTAGGGTTCGTATTACATCTCAATAATTTTCAAACAGTTACAGACTTTCCACTGAACTAGTATACATATTTGTTTAGGGGCCAGCTGAAGGACGCCTCCGGATGCGGGAGTTTCTCGCTACATTGAAGACCCATTGGTGGCCTTCGGCTGTTGTCTGCTCTATGGTCGGGTTGTTGTCTCTTTGACACATTCTCCATTTCCATTCTCAATTTTATTTCCACAAAGATTTTTTTAACCAGAAATAGGTTAACAGATGTATTGATATTCATTTGCACAAGGTTGTTTTCTAACCAACACAGCTCATATATTGAAAAACATACTAGATAGGGAAAATTTAACAGGACAAATATGATCAGAATATCAAAGATCTATTTACTTCCTATTTTCACTAAAATTAATAGATGACTCATTGTAGGAGTTATTGCCCTTAAATGACTAATTTTCAAGTTTTTGCCTTTTATCTAATTTCTTGAAAAATATAATAGATTAGTAGAAACTGTAAACAGCAAAAATGATCAGCAATTCAGGATCTACAAAAATACCAATATTACAGAAACTGTTGATCACTCCATAAGTATCTTACCTTTAATTCACAATTACATGTATTGGCTTATTTTTATGTGTTTGCCAATTAACCCCAAAACTATAATAAATAGGTAAAAATTTTAAACAGCAAAACTGATCAGCCATACAAGATCTACAGAATGCTGATACAACTGAAATTTGAAAATGACTCCTTAAGTAGTAATTTCCCTGAAATGACAATTTTTGACTCATTGTCATGTTTTTGTTTGTTATCTTGAGAACTACAATAGAACCAAATCATACAATTTATCATCCTTCTCTTCATCTATATCGTTCTGCTCAGTTGCTCAGTATTATCATTAAATGGCTTTGAGACGTGAGCAGGCATTATCAGTGTTGTCACAATGTCTTAAGAGAAGTTTAATATCAGCGACATCACAATGTGATATTTAAAGCATGCATTCGTCAAATGTAAAACAAGAACATTAATAGAACAAGAAAAGATTACCAGGTTTTCTATATATAGATTATGTACGAAAAATATTAATTAGCCCCTCAGTATAATGTGAAGTTTGCTCGTTCGCTGCGATCACTCGCCTAAAAGGTTCACACTGTAGCTTGCAGCTGATATTCTACTATATCAATATGTCGAAAACCCGATAATCTATACATTTTATGTTGGTAGAAACTGTTAAATGCAAAAATGATAAGCAATACAAGAACTACAGAAAGTCCAGTATAATTTCATCAATTGGATGACTACCTAAAGTTTATTGTCATTAAATGACGATTTTGACAAATTCAGTGTTTTTGCCAAAAACATTGAATCTCGAAAAGTATGTTAGATAGGTAGAATCTGTACTCAGCAGAAATGATCAGCTATTCAACATCTACAAAAATGCCAATATGACCAACACAAATGGATAAATTATTAAGGAGTATTTTTTTGTGTTTTTATACGACCGCAAAAAATTTGCATTCGTATAATGCTATAATGTTGTTGGTGTTGTCGTCGTCCGAAGACATTTTGTTTCTGGACAATAACTTTAGTTTAAGTGTATGGATCTCTATGAAATTTAACCAAAAGGTTCAATACCACAAAAGGAAGGTTGGGATTGTTTATGGTGGTGATGGTGGTGATGGTCCCATTTGTTCAGGAATTAGGGGCCAAAAAGGGGCCCAAAACAAGCATTTTTTCTAGTTTCAGGACAATAACTTGTGTATAAATATTTTGATTGCTCTGAATTTGTACCACAAGGTTCAATACCACAAGTAGAAGGTTGGGATTTATTTTGGGGGTAATTGCCCAAACCGTTAAGGAATTAAGGGCCAAAACAAGCAATTTTCTAGTTTTTGGACAATGACTTGTGTTTAAGTGTATGGATGTCTCTTAAATTTTACCACATTTTACAAAAAGAAAATTTCTTCAAATATTTTTTTTTTGGGGGGGTCAATTTTTTTTTCCTCAAGATTTTAGAAATTATTAATTTTCCCCCCAAAAAATTGGGGATCACAATTTATTTTGCTAATTCTTTGTATATAGTCTGAAAACAGATTTACTAAGTATTGCGCAACAGCACAGTGTATTGCACAACAGCAAGAAATCTTCAATTGAATATAAATTCAAATCATATAACCAATTTCAATTCTTTGACTACATTTATTCTGTGTCAGAAACCTATAATGTGTCAAATATTTAATTACAATCCAAATTCAGACCTGTATCAAGCTTGAATATTGTGTCCATTTTTATACGACCGCAAAAAAATTTTTGTGGTCGTATATTGGTATGACGTTGGCGTCGTCGTCGTCATCGTCCGAAGACACATTGGTTTTCGCACTCTAACTTTAGTTTAAGTGAATGGATCTCTATGAAATTTTACCACAAGGTTGAATACCACAAAAGGAAGGTTGGGATTGATTTTGGGGGTTATGGTACCAACAGTAAAGGAATTAGGGGCCAAAAAGGGGCCAAAAATAAGCATTTTTGTAACTTCCAGACATAACTTGTGTGTTAGTGTATGGATCTCTCTGACATTGTACCACAAGGTTCCATATCACAAAAGGAATGCTGGGATTGATTTTGGGGGTAATTGCCTCAAAATTTTAGGAATTAGGGGCCAAAAAAGGGGCAAAAAACAAGCATTTTTCTAGTTTCATGACAATAACTTGTGTGTAAGTGTATGGATCTTTCTGAAATTGTACTACAAGGTTCCATATCACAAAGGGAAAGCTGGAATTGAGTTTGGGGGTAATTGTAGAAACGTTTAGGAATTGGGGTCCAAAAAGGGGCCAAAAATAAGCATTTTTCTAGTTTCCAGACAATAACTTGTCTTCAAGTGTATGGATCTCTCTGAAATCGTACTGCAAGGTACCATACCACAAAGGGAAGGCTGGGATTGATGATGGGGGTAATTGCCTCAATATTTTAGGAATTAGGGGCCAAAAAGGGGCAAAAAACAAGCATTTTTCTAGTTTCAGGACAATAACTTGTGTGTAAGTGTATGGATCTTTCTGAAATTGTACTACAAGGTTCCATATCACAAAGGGAAAGCTGGGTTTGAGTTTGGGGGTAATTGCCCTAAACGTTTTGGAATTCGGGGCCAAAAAGGGGCCAAAAAACACATTTTTCTAGTTTCCAGACAATAAGTTGTGTTCAAGTGTATGGATCTCTCTGAAATTGTACTGCAAGGTACCATACCACAAAGGGGAGGCTGGGATTGAGTTTGGGGGTGATGAATCATAAGGGGGTTCAAAAAATTTGGGGGGGGATTTTTTTTTTCTCCTTTTTTTTCTTTTTTTCCTTTTTTTTTCTTTTAAAATTTTCCATTTTAAGTTGGTTATTTCTGATTTATATTTAAAAGCAAATAATAATGATATGGTAGGAGATACACACCAAACAGGAAGTGTAAATTATTATATAATAAGTATTGTGCAATAGCAAGAAATTTTCAATTGCACAGTATTGCACAATAGCAAGAAATCTTCAATTGCACAGTATTGCGCAATAGCAAGAAATCTTCAATTGCACAGTATTGCGCAATAGCAAGAAATATCCAATAGCACAATATTGCGCAATAGCAAGAAATTGTCAACTGTACAGTATTGCGCAATAGCAAGAAATATTTAATTGCACAGTATTGGGCAAAAGAAGATACTTCGTATAAATTGCTTATTTCTTGACCAATTTCAATGGGGTTTTATTCTTGAATTCTTGGGGTTCTTTAATATGCTGAATCTAACCGTGTATTTATTTTTTGGATTTTGGGCCCCGTTTTTAAATTGGTCCACATTGAGGTCCAAAGGGTCCAAAATTAAACTTTTTTGTTTGATTTCATCTAAAATTGAATTATTGGGGTTCTTTGATATGCCGAATCTAACCGTGTATTTAGATTCTTAATTTTTGGTTCCGTTTTCAAATTGGTCTACATTAAGGTCCAAAGGGTCCAAAATTAAACTTAGTTTGATTTTAACAAAAATTGAATTCTTAGGGTTCTTTGATATGCTGAATCTAAACATGTGTTTAGATTTTTGATTATGGGCCCAGTTTTCAAGTTGGTCCAAATCGGGGTCCAAAATTAAAATTTGTTTGATTTCAACAAAAATTGAATATATGGGGTTCTTTGATATGCTGAATCTAACCATGTATTTAGATTTTTGATTTTTGGGCCCCGTTATCAACTTTGTCCACATTGAGGTCAAAAGGGTCCAAAATTAAACTTTGTTTGATTTCATCAAAAATTGAATTCTTGGGGTTCTTTGATATGCTGAATCTAACCATGTATTTAGATTTTGGATATTGGACCATAATAGGTGAATGTCCAATTTAAAATTTTTAAGTTCTTAGACCACATTCATTCTGTGTTAGAAACCTATGCTGTGTCAAATATTTAATCACAATCCAAATGCAAGCTGTATCAAGCTTGAATGTTGTGTCCATACTTGCCCCAACTGTTCAGGGTTCGACCTCTGCGGTCGTATCAAGCTGCGCCCTGCGGAGCATTTTATTGTTTTTTGTTTCCAACTGTTCAGGGTTGTACCTCTGCGGTAGTATCCAGCTGCGCTCGGCGAAGCAGTTTATTGTCAAATATATTGAAAAATAGAAACTATAAATTACAACAATGATCATCCTGAAAATTCGAGAAAATGCACACTGACTTGTCTTTGAAATCTTACCAAAAGCTCAGATATCTTATGCAGAATATAGTTATAATAATTTCAAAAACAAATTGATTTTGAAAGGTCAGAAACCTTTCTGAATTTTTCATTTGAATATAAGCCCAAAGTGTAGGGTGACGTAAGAATGTTCGTCTCTGTAATTGTTTTTTTGGGGGGAAATTGTAAATTTGACTGTCAGATTGTTTCCTCATTCGTTATTTAAGTTATTAGTTGTTTTTTGTTTGTTTTATTGTTTAAAAGTATATGAAAACAACATTACATGTGGGGGTAGAAAAGATGAAAGTACATGATGACCAAGAGTATGTATTTTGTATGTGGGGGTAGGAAACAATTCTGTTCGATCCTGTTCCTGGCTTCCACAGTATACTTTAGAAATTGTTTTTGTTTACTCATTAAAGACATTGTTTTTGTTTGCCTGAGGATAGCACTATCTAACTTTGATATTTCAATCAAGTCTCTATCTTCATATTTTCAGTTACTAATTAAATAATTTGACTACAAAAATATAGTCAATTTCCACTCATTATAAAAAGTTGATGTTTTGTTTATTTGTGAAATGATTTTTACACCTACAGATAGTCATGCTGAAACTTTTATGTTTCATTACCATGTGAAAAGTATAATGAAGAACATGTTATAATGATGAATTATTGATCTGAATTAACAATTAAAACCTTGAACTAAATGCAGTAAAACATTCCACATGTATACTGCATGAGTAAATACCTTTTATTTCAAACATCATCGTTAGCATTAAATATTTATTTGAATATCCTGAGAATAATCATTTTATAAAAATTTGTGTGTATTTGAACACTATGCATGATTTAAAAAAAAAAAAAAAAAAGAATAAAGATCTATATTTATGTGATTCCTAGGATTGGTTAAAAGTGTTTATTTCCTTGTATGACACAAAAAACGGAACTTAAATTAGAAAAATTCATATGCGATATTCAGCCAAAATGGCTGACATGGTACTTTGTTATACTGTAATATCTTGAGTTTTTTTTCTTAACGATTCTAAAATTGTTAAATAAGCGCATTCAATATAAAGTAGGTTTAATTCTTTGCTATTTTGTCAGTTGATGATGGTAGTATTTTAGTTCTAGAGATATTATGGACAGTTATAAGTGTGTGGGTATCATTTTATTTCATTATAGCCTTTAATGTCATTAATATCTGTCTCTATAATGTATGTTTTGTTGTTGAAAAGACATTTTTGTCTTCCCAGGAATGAGCAAATAAAAACAATAAAATTAAAAACGACTATATTGAGATTTAAATCCTTCAGATAGTCGTCAGAATCCCACAGGCCTGTAGCTTCCTACAAATGGGATTGGAGGAGTCTCTGATGTAACCAAGAAGCCATTTCCTTTCGTCTCTATTAATAATAAGACATGATTTGTGGTTAATGTACCTAGTTTGATGTGGTTATAATTAAACTTCATTTGAGGTAAAATATTGGAAAAATAATCCTAAGAATAGCTCTGTGTATTGCGTTTAAGAAACATTCCAAAGACGTAATTTTGAATTGTACTGATTGTGAAACTGTAAATCTTGCCAATGCTTATTACTTTGTGTGTGTAAAATGTAGTTACATGTAATGTGTACATTATCTCAGAAACATTCTCTCAGAAACATTATATCTATTGTGCAATAACACTGAGGTTGTGATTTCGTTACCTGCTCGTTGCAGGTGCATTCAACTCCTATCTAAATATACTAGGATTTTTAGTTTTCCTGCATAAGGTCTGTTGTTCTCTCTGACTAATTCCTCCATTTATGAAAACTGGCCGTCAAGAGTGTTGAAAGTGGTGTTAAATACAAACAATCAATCATTCTATTTTGCCTAACTTTTATATTTTAACCAAAATTTTAAATGGCTTGGTAGTATAATGGTCTTTTTCATTTCATTATATCATCATTTATAATAACATGTGCCTTTTATTTCTTACCTTGCAGACTGTCAAAATAATAACTAGCGTTTGAGAATTTATGAATATAAAGGAAAATTCTGGCATTCAGAGCATTGTAGCCGTTGGCACTTCATTTGTATTACCCGAGAACATTGTAGCAGGCACTTCATTTGTATTACCCGAGAACATTGTAGCAGGCACTTCATTTGTATTACCCGAGAACATTGTAGCAGGCACTTCATTTGTATTACCCGAGAACATTGTAGCAGAAGGCATTCATATTTAATACTGAATTAATCATAACCCTGGCTTGTCCTTCTTTTCTGGTGTCTATGAAAGCCGATTATTAAATTTTTACTTGCAATGAGCGTTGCAATGGGTGTAGCAAGTGGAGCAAGAACATCGTACTCTTCTGAAGCACTTGAGTCCACCCCTGTTTATTTGGTGGAGTTTGTGGTGTTCAATCTTATCAAATTCTGTTCGTTTTTTATGCCCCCATTACTCAGTTGCATGGGCAAATAAGTAACCGATATCTGTCAGAGCATAATGTCTTGATTAAATTGCAACAATTTACTGACCAATCAGATGACAGCGATTTTGCTAGCGCTCGTCTTTTTTGTCATTTATGAAACGGTTTTCAAAATGACAAAAGTATCACTTAAATTAGGAAAGTGTAAAAATATTTTCGCATGAAAATACTATAATTCTACCTGTCTTCATGTTTCTGACAAGTTTATGACCCTCAGCTAATTAACATTTACAACAGATGTTATAAGTTGTGATTACAGGTAATCTGCTTATCAACATCGGATGGGTCACTAATCTGTTAATTATTAATAAACTCCATAATTGACCATCATAATTATCCATAGATGAATCCGGATTCATTCTGAATTTATTATCTACTTGTCACTTCCCATTTTCATTTCATTTGAAAATCGAAAGTAAAAGTCCTGATCAATTCTTGATTAATTTACAATTTACAGTCATTAGAATCGTTCTCTTAAGGATTTGAACAACTCCTTGGTTCCAACTTTATAGAAATGAATTCCAATTATTGATTTAAATGTTTTTATAAGGACAATGATTATGCAGTGAAATAGTCTTACAACTTAC